AAAATAATATTAGATTTACAAAACATTTATGTACACTTTACTCTCGATTAACGTACGATAATATATTGCAAGTCTTCAGATCTTATTTGATATGTCATCTGAAATGTCATCAATGAGTAAAATTAATTTTATTTCGTTACAATCCTTAAATAATTAAATTTTCGTTGTGTTCATGGAAAGTCCTGCATTCTGATTAGCTGAATTGGTCACGTGTTATTGCATTCATTTCCCAATGAATGTAAAAAATGAAGCCACGCCCACCGCGGCGCACTACTTTTATTACTTCGGAATGTCGGGGAATCCCAATATTACAGTCGAGGGAATTCCCTTTCTGCTCACGTGTATCGTCATGCACAGGACATTTAGCGACTTTCATGCATATTCATTGTCCAAACTACCCTTTGAAACCGAAGGCCTAGAATGAATGAAACAGCAAACGTGCAGGCTCGCTCGCCTGTTTTTTTCCCGCTCGCCCCGGTTCAACTTTCATGTCTTCGGGTTTCATTTATAACTAGCATTTCTCCAACTGTGATTTACCGTAATCAGGGAAGTAATGTTTGAATCACGCAGTAAATGACCATGTTATTTGAAACTTCCGCCTTCTCTCGGACATATTTCTTCCGGTTCGTTACAGTCTGACTGTTCTGCAGTTCTTTTCGCCTCTTGCCTTAATTGACAGGTCAAATGAACATTGTTTTAATCCCACTCTCCGTTGATTGGCTACTGACTGTGTAGGCGTGTCAAGTTATGTGCATAAATTAAACGATCACCTGATTCATGTCACGCCACTGTATGTATTTCTATACCTGGAATGTTTATCAATGTCGTCATTTTTGTCTGTTTTGATATGCAACTGTTTTGGGTTAAACTATTGTAGATAAAACATGTTTTACGTTGTCGAATTTAATTATAAGCATTGACTGTATATTTTTTTCGGTTCATTGAGGAATGAATCGAAAAGCCGATGTGCAAACTTTTGTAAGAATCCGCTAAGCGGATTCATACAGTTTGCATATCGGCTTTTCGATTCATACCTCAATGAACCGAAAGAAATACACAGTCAATCCTTAAATTTTATTCAAATAGACTAATAGACGGTCGGTGATTTCCCGCCGCTGTGAATTTGTCGTCTGGACAGGTGCGCGTGATTTGACCTCGCGTGTTGTGACGTGGATGACGTCACATGAATCAGCTGATCTAATGCTGGGCAGTATGATGGATACACATGGTTTCATTTTCCAAATAACAATATTCTCTTTCACTGAACTAGAAAGCATGTCTAGTACACCACGATTGGAAAATGTCTACGGCGAGTGACGAGTGAATGAGACCGCTTATCATTTGACTAACAGTGTTAGAATATTTGGCGCAGTTTTCTAATTTTGGTATGTTGACATGTGCTTTTCATATCTGTTTGAAGGCTTGATATTTCAACAACAAGAAATGTGCATTCAGTTGAGTACAATGAGAAAGCTGTCAAAATGGATCCAATATCTAAACAACCTGGATTTTTTATATTTTAACTTCATCTATTAATCTCGAATCGTTCAATTTATAACATACACAGTAAAAGTAATTAGATCTACTCACAATATATAGATAATCAATTTCTGAAAGACAAACAGTTTTCAGTGTAAATGTGATTTCGTTTTCATGTTTTATATAGGTCTTTTTTCACTCTACATTATCTAAATTATCAAATACTTCGACCAGTGACATAGTTGTAATTAGATTCTACTTTGTTTTGTATTTCTAAGTATGAAATAGATTTTTTTTTTAAATAAACATTTGTCTAAGAGAAAAATCAATGCATTCTAATTTTATTTTTACCATTTTAATTTGTATATCTTCCCTCCAAGCTAGTTTAGCTAGGCCAAAATTAAGAAAAAAAAGGAAAGACATAATAAACCATTTTTATTAAAGATTTTGCTGGTTAAATTTTCGAAGCACAATACGAAGAATATATTTTTCCTTTTAGGACAAATGATTCGATTACTTTCATATCATTGACCGATGTTGATTATCTTTTTCAAACTTTTCCTTCAGTAGAATATGGGATGGAATGGGAAACTAGTGGAAATAAACTATCACGTGTGTCCTTAAATGTACATGTACATGCAGAGCTAGGTGTAAATACACTTCTAAAATCGTATTTATAAATCAAATGAATAAATGAAAGAAAAAGTGGTATTTCATGGACTGGCCATACAAGTATATTTTGAGCAAAGGTCTAAGCTAGGCAGCCAAGGTACGAGGATGTGTTTTCTGGTGGACATAGTGAAACAATGACATATGGCGCCCGAGTTGCGAGTGATCGAAAATAGGTTTGTTGAATAGATTTGCTGCCCATGAAAACGTTTCAACAATTTTGATTGAATCTACATGTACTTACTCTTGGGTGGTATTACGTTAGTATAATATTGTTAATTATTAAGAAATAACAATGATGCCCGATATTGAGCGATGTCAATTTGACTATTGTTAGGGCTGTTTAGCGATCTTTCACATTTTGTCCTTTGAAAATGTACGATGTCAGTTACCCCGAAGTTGTTTTTATCACTAATAAAAGAGCACGGTCATTGAAACATACATGGATGTAACCGGGATTTCTTCAAGATATACATTCCAAACTGTCATTCGTTTTGTGACATAATCTTTGAAACAGTCTTCGTATGAATTAATCACGACCACTTCCGTCAATTTTGTTTTGACGTCAAAAACACGCACAATTTCATCAGGATTTTTTATCGGTAAATATAACTCACGGAACATTCTCAGTGAATGTGTACTTCAACATAAATATCATATGTCTATCACTGTTAGGACATGTACTTGCCAATGATATGAATTATTGGTCATTTACATATTACGATTAATGTGGAAAAGTAGGAAACTTATAATACCAGCACATTTATCGATGGCTGGGCAGTGCATAGATCTTTTGGATTTGGTGACTTTAGATACTGTTGGAAAGACAATCAACTCGAGTTGCATGTTATACAATTTGGTTACACTGTATGAAGCAATAAAGACGTTGCAACACTTTTGATACAATGTATACGTTTTTGTAACCGCGACGTCAGCACAGTGCGACACAGCGGTTTGCAGGCTGACTGACGTCCAGGCACCATGAGGGTTAAAAACAATAAAATAAACAAACAAAAACGTGTGGGGCGACCAATGCAGTAGTACCATGTGACGCTAGCAGAGACCTCACAAACGAGGGAAAGGATTTCTGAGCGTCATATGTACACATTATCTGTATAGTGGGTGAATTTGGTTTTACGCCGCTTTGAACAGTTATTTATTTATTTATTATTTATTTCAGTTATATCACGATGTGTCCGCTTAATTAGGGAGGAAAGCCCGAAGTGATTGAGGTCTCATGATCACGAGCACGGGTATGGTGATTACAAACCTGGAAATATAATCGGGGCGAACCGTGATTCGAACCCACGACCATGATTTCTGGCGAGCCTAAGGGACGCAACTCTGCACAGCGAATTGCGACGCCTCAGACGACTGGGCCACCCCTGTCCCTACAGTATCTGTATATAATGACCAGTAAATACTATGAAGCAGTTCCGTCGAAGTCACAATATCAAAATGTTTGGCTTACCGATAAAGCTCGGGTAATCGATTTATACTTCCGATTGTAAGATATGATAGTATTCTATGACTTTGTTGAAGTGTATTACAGCCATTCTACTGGTGTAATCTCCGAGTGTCAGGCGGAATAAAATATTAATACTGAACACTCACAGTGAGTGAGTATGGTTTTACGCCGCTTTTAGCAATGTCGCGGTGGGTAACGTAACACCAGAAATGGACTTTACACATTTTACCCATGTGGGGAACCAAACGCAGGTCCGTCAGCGTGACGAGCGAATGCTTCAACCACTAGGCTACCCAACCTCGCCTGAACACCGACAAGGGTTGTCAAATCTAACTCATTCACTCACCACTACAATATGTTGTATGTGGATCGTAGAAATGAGAAGTCTTTTGGCTGCGTCTTTGAGCTTTTACAGTCTGTGAAAAAAACCCATCTCCTATGGGCTAGTATTCTCACACACAGTAACACATCAAACCATCCTTTGAAAACATGATTTGATATCGTGTTCCTGGATAAAAGGAAACAACGATTACTAATCAAGGAATCAATTCGAGACATGTCAACAGTAAAGGTAGCTTTTCAGGCTCCATAACATACCCCGGATTAGATTTCATACATCCAGAGCTGAAGCTCTCATATATCAAATTTATATTCAGACGTCTCAATTCGTATAATCAGAAATAGAAATAATCAGTGTAGAAATTCGACATATCTAGAATGAACCTCGGTGTATATCAAGAAAATCTGAGATATCACGAATTGGTTTTGATATATTTACATATAATTATCAAAATGAGAATTATGTCCTTATAAAATTGGAATAAATGGCTTTTTCTCACCAAATAACATCGTTGTCTCTATGACTGACTTACAAAAGTTAATATTATCATCTGTGACACAGTGTCCCCATTGTCTTAGTAGTGCGTCTAACTGTTTGCTTGAGATCTATACAAGACTTCTATTTGGGGCTGTTTTACAGTACAAAGGTGTTTGTGTTATCCTTCTAGTTTTATGTAAATAGCTGTGGAATCTTATTATTATATAATCCTTTAATTCCAGCTTATGAAAATAATATCATATATGAAAATTAATCGTCTAGTCACAATATGGCTGAAATAATTCCGATGTGAATATATAAATTTAAATTCACACTATTCAATGAATGGTGTAAAATACATTTTTGGTGTCCCCTCATGGAATAATGCTAAAAACGCTGTAAAAAATAATATACACCAATTGAAACAGAAAATGAAAAAGAATTGATAGGTGATAACGGGGAAAACTAACGCAATTCAAGCAACACAGTAGGTGCAATATTTACTGCAGCATTCAAAAAAGAAGTTTCATAAAAATAATACATATGTACATTAAAATGAACTCATTACACTGACACAACAACATCTGATAATCTTCCAGATAAATCTGGTATCACATGCAAACATTTGCTTCCCTTATTAAATGTTCTGTTTTACCGTCCGTCAATAATGCTATATTTATACATACACATTAGTAATTTAACCAAACAAGACACAAATCACATACAGTTAAACACTGTTGTGTCGATCTTTAATCTGTCGAACTTACGCTTATCTCGCACTAAAACATTGATCCCTGCGTATTCCTTCTTTATTTATCATTTTCGGTTGTGTCGAACTTACGCTTGTCTCGCACTAAAACATTGTCCCCTGCTTATTCCTTCTTTATTTATCATTTTCGGTTGTGCCGAACCTCTGATAACGCCAAGTATTTACGTAGGTCCCTTCAATTTCGACACAACGGTGTTTGACTGTATTTTAAACAATCAAGTCGGTTATATGTAGATACGTAGTAAATAAATAGAACATAAATATTTTTACCATCAACCTTTTACCATGAACATGTTTGTTTAAGAGTTCTCAAGATTGTTCGCGATGTGGCTAAACAGTGCGACCACAGCAGTTAAAGCCGTGTGCAGGTGATCAGTTATGCGATGCAAAAAGATAATCTTAAATAACCTTTGGAATGTTAAAAATGCCGTTTAGAGCGCACGGCGACCTCGTGAGCTGAAACCCATCTCTTAGCTGTGCAAACTTAAATCTTCCATATTCATGCCGGGGCATAACTCAAAGTAAATCAACGTTAAAGAGCGGGAGGTCGCTTTGTGGAAGGTGACCTAGGATCGTGTATTGTAGGTTCGAATCTTGATCTCGGAGTATGGTGCTTGGTTAGTCTCCATGCCCGTGCTCGTGGTTTAACTCAAGTGTTAAACGTCTGTGACCTCACAAATCGCGATATAGCTGAAATACTTATCAATATCAGTCACCTACTCTGGTAATGCCTTTGAAAGATCGTTTTTCAGCAGCCGTGTGATGAAAAAATTGTGATATTTGGGGTTGTCTTCACATCCCCTGCGCCAAGACTAGTTCCACACAAGATATGATTATAAACAGAGATGATGTCAAACTCAAAACACGTTAAGTTCACAGCATACGAACACAATACATATTTCACACACTGACAGGTTCTTTAACGTATTCATATTACAGGTAAGGAACTGTAATCAAAGCCGTGAGAATAAACAGCAACAACTGAAACAGCAATTGCAGCAACAGCAACACATTGTTCTACAGAAACCTTTGGGAGGTTTTTCTTTTGGTGGTACCTGTTGTCGTGTAAATGAGAGAAACACTTGCTCCAGTGTTGTCTGATGGACAGAGTAGTCCTCCACACAATATTGCTCCTTGGTCTGTTCCATGGACGTGAACACCTGGGCCAGACTCACGGAGGTGTCGGGCACCTGGAAGTGGGCGTAGCCCTGGTGGTCGTCAAACACCTGAGTCTGGGGGTATATGGACATGATAAAGTCAACCAGGGGTTGGGTTGGTGCGGTGTTTTGACCGTCGGGAAGCATGGCCATCCTAGCTATCAGGGTGTACCCTTGACCAAACTTGTTCTTGAGATGCTGAGGCGCTCCCAGGCAGACGAACCTTCCATTCACCATTATGGCGATTTTTGTGCACAAGGCGTCACATTCCTCCATGCTGAAAATGAGATCATCAGTGTCAAACATATCGGTACTACTCATAAGATATGCTTTTTTAAGTTATATTTTTACAACCCTCTGCTCAGTAAAAGTATTATAAATGAATGTATCTGATCCAGCTTATTGGCAGTTAGCTGCCAGTTCACTCGCAGTCACTTGTGAAATCAAATACAAACATAACTAAATGTTCTACCCATGTGTCGATCAACTAATCTTTAACAAAAACAAGTCGTACCTGTGAGACGTGAGCACGAGGGTCCTGCCGCACTCCCGGACCTTTGAAAGGACGTTCCAGAGCTGCCTCCTGGCCTTGGGGTCCATCCCTGTGGACGGCTCATCCAGCATGATGAAGGCCGGGTCTCCAACCAGAGCGATGGCAGTGCTCAGCTTACGCTTGTTACCTCCACTGGAATATGAAAACTATCATTAGCGGCCTAAAGATTGCCTTTATCTGTCAAGCTCAACCTTATTAGTACCCTTAATATTTCCGTCAAAGAAAGTCTTCTATGTATTCCATCCCCTGGGATATAACTGCCATGTGCCAGGATGACCGCGAGAAAATACGAGAAAATTCGCGACCGGTGACGACCTTTGCCACAAACACAACCTGGACATGGTCAGTGTGCAGGAGAATCTAACGGGTGACAGGTACAGGCAAGAAATCCTGCATCCGATCCTTGTACCAAACATGGGGCATTCTTCGGCGTAAGATACAAAAACTGGAAGGCATCGGATGTCTCAGTGGAGGCATTAAGAGGGCACACGGCGGCTATCCACGCTGTTGACAATCTCCTCACAGGAGGTCATGTTAGTGTCTTTTGAGCAAAAGTGTACCAGCCACAACTGTCTAGGGCACTCTTGAGCTTCACACCTAAGTGACGCTGTTGACAATCTCGTCACAGGAGGTCATGTTAGTGTCTTTTGAGCAAAAGTGTACCAGCCACAACTGTCTAGGGCACTCTTGAGCTCCACACCTAAGTGACATACCAATGTTGTCTCTAATACACACAGTGAAATGTCCACTAGTGTTATGAATACCACTTCCAATAAAGTCACGCCATTGTTAGTGAAATTGATTCTGAGTCAAGACTTCACTGGCCATTGCGAACTAGAATTTCAACAAGTACAACTGAAGCAACCATAGGTCATTATGCACAATTATGGAGCAATTTTATATCAATCATAACAAAATAGAAAGAACAAGGTATAAGGGCCCTTCACAAGTAATTATAATATTTATCAGATGTGTTCATATGAATAGGAATAAAACTTTGTTCAATTCAACAACTGAATGCACACATGATGTTAATTTAAATGTTAAAAGGGCTGATTTTAGTGGTTTACGGGAAGTGTTTTTTTCCAAATATTTAAACATGTATCTCTGTAAGTCTTTGACCCAAATTGTTTTTTATAGGAGATGAATATAATCAATGAACAACATAAGAATATACATGTAGTAAATAAATCACCTTGGGTCTCACATTTGGTTTTTTTCACTAATATCAGCCATACTTACGCTTGTAAGTGTAAGAAAGAAGAAAGTTCGACGTCAGCCATAATGTCTGATAATTTATATATATTTTTAAGTTTTTCGCAACGTTTAATAAAATATGTCATTTCTGTTGGACAAAAAATGTCCTTTATCCTATTTCGTCCTTTAACGGTGTTTTTTTTACAAAATATGAACGACTTGGGTTCAGAGTCAGTCATCGGACCCTGGTCCGTCTGAGGTATTTAACTCTGAACAGGCTCAAAACACTCTGGGGTGATCTCAGCTCAGTCCCAAGTCACTCATATCTGTTTGGACTGTGATAGATATCAGAGTCAGTGTTTCCGGTGGGTGGTAATATATTTGGTCGGTCAGTTCATTTCGACGAGTACATTTTACGAAACTGACCTTCTCCATGCGGTCGCCATGCCTTTGAAGCATATGGCCCAGTCGGACCAAACTATTCCGTGTGTCTACCAGAATTTTCCAAACCAAGTCATATTTTTTCCGGGCAATAGCCGGTACATGCCACGTAACGGAAACGCCAGTTTACATACCTGTATTCCTGTGTCGGAATGTCTGCATAGCTGTGCAGCATCATGATGTCCAGCAGTTTGGTGCACACGTCGGAGACGCTGCCCTCCGGAACACCACGTAGCCGGGCGTACATGGCGAGGGTCTCTCGTCCTGTCATCTGGTCAATCAGGGCATCAAACTGGGGACAGTAGCCCATGTTCTCCTGCACCTGTAGTCAAGGAAAAGGATTCAATGCTTTAAAGAAACCCATGATTGTCATACGAACCAATTAACTAAAGATCAAACCATCTGAATTTGGGTCCTGGCTTTGTCCTAAAGGATCGTGCTTTAAACCATTGATGTGTCTGAGATATTGCTGTGGTAGCCTAATTGTTTAAGCGCTGGCCCGAAAATGAACAATGTGTTAAACCAATGCTTCATGTCCCGCTGTAATGTGGCTTGAACATGCCTAAACGAGACGTAGCTTTACACAAGCACCCAAAGCTTATTACGCGATAATAAGTCATGACTATAAGAACCACAGATAGAATCATTTTTCACAATACCTGACTGCAATTAGCATGGACATGGACAAAATATACACCGTGTAGACTCTGAATTGTCAATAATAAAGACTGCTCTTGGTAGTTTTTACAATGTTGACGGAAAGTACCTTCTTAGACTGATTCCTAACATCATGTTTCCACAGAAAGGCATTTCCACCCGTCACCATCACTTCTCCCGTCATCATCCTGAACGTCGTCGTCTTCCCGGCACCATTCTGACCCAGCAGACCAAAACACTCCTTCTCGGCTATGCCAATATTCAGATGATCCACGGCCACAACTTCCCCGAATCTCTTGTACAGATTCTTCAGGACAATAGCATCAGAGGAACCGGAAGCTGGGTCTATGCTATCGATGCGTCGGCGCTCAGTAGACACGTCACTGTCTTCCGGAAGGCGACCTTCGATATACTGTTCCCCGTCCTCCTGCACATCGTGTCGCCCACTGCAATAGGCAATCTTCTGCGGAATTTGGTAGTCAATCATTAAAATGACTGACATGTAAAAGAATCCATGTAGGATCAGCATGAATATGAAGCGTCCAATTCCTGGCAGTTCCCACTGAAGGAAATCGTCTGAAAATACCAAACAGTTGTTGCCGCAGGTATCTGAAAGTAAAAACCAAAAGGGTATCTGAATTTGACACCTCCCCGAGCTACAAGTCATAAATATAATATAAAAAGTCACTTGCTTTCTTCATGAGGGGGTACGGGTGGCCTAGTCGTCTAATGCGCGGCAATTCGATGTGCAGAGTTGCGTCCCTTGGGCACGCCATAAACCTATGATTGTGGGTTCGAATCCCGGTTCGCCCTTATTATGTTTCTAGGTTTGTCAGCACCATGCCCGTGCTCGTGGGTTTCACCGAAGTGGTAAACTCTAAGACCTGCATCAGTTCGGGCTTTCCTCCCACATTAAAATAACACGCCATGATGTGACTGGAAGACTGTTTAAAGCGGCGTTAAACCCAACTCACTCAATATCTTGACGATTATTCAGTGTTATACAACACGAGCGAGTCATAATGGTTTTGTTTTGTTTGGTTTGTAGTTTAACGCCGCACTCAGCAATATCCCAGCTATATAACGGCAGTTTATAATCAAGTCTGGACCAGACAATCCAGTGACTGACATCATGAGGATGAATCCACCCAATTGGGATACGACATGCTTCAACCAGGTCAGCGAACCTGACCACCCGATCCCGTTCGTCGTCTCTCACGACAAGCGTAGTCACCTTTTACAGCAAGCATGGGTTGCTGAAGTCCTATTCTACCACGGATCTTCACGGGTCGAGTCATAATGACAAATACCAGGGACCTATTCACCACAATAGGTTCGAGGGGCAGTGCGGTAGTGGTTAAAGCGTTGGCTCGTCATGCCGAAGACCCGGGTTCTAGTCCCCCACATTGATACACTGTGTTGAGCCCATTTACTGGTGTCCCCCGCAGTGCTATTCCTGCAATATTGCTAAAAGTGGCGTAAAACTCTACTCACTTCTAAAGCTTCATAGCGGAAGTGACGTCACCATCTCTTTCGTTCCTGTCTCGAACTTATCACACTCAGGATTATGTCTGAGTTACAGAAACTATCATGCTTATCTTCAGCATGTGATATACAATTTATACTACTGCGTTAAAAAACGAACACTGGTTATTCTAAACAGACATATGCATCACCATCATCCTTAAAATCCCATACGGACCGCCTCCGTGGTCTAGTGGTAGAGCGTCCGCCCGGAGAGCGGAAGGTCCGGGGTTCGATCCCCGGCCGCGTCATACCAAAAGACGTTAAAAGATGGTACTTGTTGTTACCCTGTCTGGCGCTCGGCATTAAGGGGCTAAAACAAGGACAGGTCGGCTCGGAGTCAGTATACTTTGTCTGAGTGGGGTATTCATGTTAAACTGCGGCATGGTATCTCAGTGTGCTAGCACTATAAATCGGCACCAGTCCGGACTAGTACAACCAGCCACACACACACACACACACACACACACACGTACATGCACGTCGCTATATAAGTGCAATAATCTTGGACGCGACGTTAGACCCAATTTCACCTCACCTAAAATCCCATACGTCGAGATACCGGGTTGTGAGAATAGTGTACTTTTTCATGAATTTCCCGAGAGAAATGTGAGGCTCAGTGTACCACTCGGTCATGCAAGATTTGAGTATTTGAAACACAACCCCAGTGTATAGCGCGATGAGTCACAGGATTTTTCTCGACAGCTTGACGAGTTCAGTGGTGTGTTAATAAATCGGTCGGTAAGGTCAGCTTGTCCTGACTAGTCAAACATGCGACTCTCAGATAAGTATTGATTAATGTGCGCAGCTTGTGATGTGAAACTGGATCCTCCGATCCGCGGGATAGTACCTTGTTTATGTCACTGATTCACCGATGATTGTCGTTACTACCCTTGTGTGTACATAACAGGCTTCTCCACTCCAGTACAACTACATCTGATATTGGCTCTACTGTATAAACATTGCCCCCTACCTGTATATACAATAAACTACGGTTATAACGAACACGCTTATAACGAACTGACGGATATAAAGAACTTACTTTTTGGTCCCGACTATTTGCTGTAGTTATGCTGTATATATGCTTATAACGAACTACGGTTATAACGAACTAAAATTAGTAGTCCCTTTGAGTTCGTTATAACCGTACTTTACTGTATATACTTGTCAACCGCACTCTGTATATCACTTCCTTGATAACGGTGTTAGAACCTACACAGACACGTCGCTCTTAATTGTAATAAAGAAGTTGTTCATCCATCAATTCTTATCCTTACTTAGTACTCCAACTTCTAAATCCCTATCAAAGAAGTTATCTTGTGCCATGTGTGCATTTAAAGACTGATGGTCTAACGCCCGTATCAAGTTAAGCTGTGGACGTTGTTATTACTGAATGAAACTGAGACGTTCTCGTCTTTGAATGATTTGTTTGTTGGTTTGGTTAATAAAGAAGTTGACATCAGTAAATTCGCTTCCTTATGTGACAAACTCACGCCGTAGTCTGTGTAATCATTGACCGGCTTAACGATTGATACATCATAGCGTTTGATTTACCGGCGAGTTTTGAATGACTGCAAGCAGAAAATTAAGCCATTTGAAAGTATTTTACGCCTTTATGGGATTCTTATTGTTTCAGTTGGAACAGTGCCTTGATCAAGATGGTATCCTCCGTCTATTATATCATGCGTATTATTCTTCCTGGTAGGCCCGTGAAGATCCGGGGTAGAAAAGGGCTTCAACAACCCATGCTTGCCGCAAAAGGCGACTATGCTTGTTGTAAGAGGCGACTAACGGGATCGAGTGGTCAGGCTCGCTGTCTTGGTTGATGCATGTCATTGTATCCCAATTGCTTGGATCGATGCTCATATCAGTGTGCGAGCTCAGCCCATGTTACCGCTTATAGATGGAAACTAAGCCTCGCTTTCACACAGGTTATAAATAGATTCAATGCTAAAAACCCTATAGTGACGTCACAACCCCTGTCACAGGAAGTGACAAAACTGTTCTGTAAACCTCCCTCATATAAATCTTTTTATTACTAATCCTACACACATATGTTATACTTTCATATATTTCCCATGTCCACATATGTCTATTTATAAAAAAAATACCAAAATATAACCCATCGATACATTGTATAGACTCTGAGAACATGTTTGTTGAAGTCACATGACCTCAAAATATTCTCTCACAGGGTAAAAGTCCCACACAAAAATATGGGTTCCATCTATCTTAAGGGTAGGAGGGGCCAATTCCTATGTTTCCTGCAATCACTGATCACTAAGCTTCCCAAGACCACCTTAAAATAGGAGGAGCTACGATGATAAACATAATTTTAATTGGATAATAGACAGTCCCCAATTTCCCCCTCAAAGTGACCACAAAGTGCCACACAGAGCGTCCAGAAATATAAATACATATGGCACCTAAGTGATAGCATCATATTCCAATGACAGATACATTACTTTAGGGCAGTTTAACACCGTTTGTTTGAAATTGACTTGACTGATATGTCACTTAGGGTCTAATTTGTGTGTCAGGGGTCTAAACTGATTGTTTACAGGTTGTGGTGTTTGACATTTGGTTCCTTCTGTCTTAAGCATTCTAGACACAATTTGTCAGTGTTATCACACTAAACAGACATTTGCGCTTAAATAAATCAGAACTTAAATCTCAAATATGCATTGGTTTATTAGTTTTAATTAGGAATAGTAACCCTTCACAGAACCGGAAGTAGTCAAGATTTTTAGTCACGTGAGCTCTATCAGTGAAATGATTGGCTTTAACCTATCGTCTGCTGTAGCAGAATACAACTGTTACTATTGTGGATTATTCCTTTTAGATTATACCTTTGCTATAGCATTTTTTATGCACAATCATGGCTCAATTGTGTATTTTAACTATCATTTTCTTGGCCCTCACTTGGAATACCCTGTGTTTTGCACACTGTCCATCATTATGTGACTTCAAGCTGACACCACTGGAGATGTGCCAAGAAAGGTATGAACATGGAATTCTGACACCCATCACACTCATTAATACTCAAGTGGAGAATATGAAGAGTACATTTATACCATACGGGCTATTGTGTGCATTAATATTATGTAGAACTTTAAAACCTTATGGAATTTTGCATCTTGTGAATATATGTGCATTTATTCTGAAGCCATTGGATCTCTTTATCAAAGCTGGATTATTTTTCATCATTGCAACAGTTAACAGTTTTATGTGTGGGAAAAACATTCTATTCTTTGTTGTTTCTCCTTCTACGAGACCAGGAGGGGAATGCAAGCATTCACCCAAATCCTCTCAATCTATCCAAGCATCATCCAATCAAACCATGTTCAAAATGCCATCCAAAAAGTCAGGTAATTACAGAAAAGATAGAAACAATAGTGGGAATGATGGTATTCCTCCTAAAAAGAAATGTAAAATGTCGTATCATGATGGTAGCCAATGGAGTCCTTGTCAGGTATGGATACAGTTGGGAAAATTTACCAAAGATGGTCCTGATCATGAAATGAATAAACCTAATCACCCAGGTGAGAAAGCATTTAAGTTCAGTGAATATTTTTCGTCGCAAGGAAAAATAATAAAACTAACAAAAGACAGTTGTTTATGCAGAGCATGTTATGTCGATGCACAGAAAAATGCAGACAAAATACCAAAACAAATTCCACGCTGGGTGAAACTTCAACAACGCTTTACTAATGAAAATAATCACTGCCCGGTCTGCCATCATGACATTGACTTGACAGAACCATGCCCATGCCAAACTGCCACACAGTGGATTAAATCCAGTGTCTGGACAATGGGTTTATCTGCTAAATCATGGCAAGAATATTTTAATATCACAAGAAATAATTTTGCTTGTAATGTGAAGGATACTTCGGTAATTTGTAAAGTACATTGTATGGAAAAGACAATGTGCACTTTGTAAATGCAAATCTTCAGGTAGCTGGGAATTTACCAATAAATACATGGATAAAATACAGGCTACATTGACACCACAGTCTGGTACACTTCAAATGTCAAATACAAACTGGATCTGTGAAAATTGCCTTAAACATTTACTGAAAACAAAA